GACATATTCCTTCCACATGAATTTGAAGCAGCAGATGCGACAGATCTTGCTATTGACGAGGGAGAGCAGCAGTAGTATAGCAGTGGCTGTTTCAGATACACAGAACGAGGATGGTCGTCAGGGGCGTAGCCAGGATTTTCAAAGTTGTAGGCACGACTATCTGAGCGGAGCGCCACCATCGGTTGGCGCGGAGCGTACAAGAAAATTTTTGGTTTTACAAACCCCCCAGATGGCCGGAAACGGCCCTTCACGAGTGTTCATTCTGGTTCCCTGGCCTCTTGCTAACTTGAGACACCTCATTCAATATCACTTTTAAACCCAAAAAACAAACGAGTTAAAATAGTGTTACGAACGAATTAAAATGTTAAAAAACTGACAAGATGGGATCCTAGTCTTTTTCGGCGGGTAGAGTGTTGAATGAAACGGCACGCGATAGAAATGACAGCCTAGATGACAGAAGAATATGTCACCTAATTTAGCCATATTCTTGCTACGTTCATTTCAATAGTTTTTCCTGTCTAGACTCTTAAACTCGTCCAGCAAGCTTATGGATTTGAATTATGGGCGTTTAAAAAAAAAAGATAACTTGGCCACAAAAAGTGTAGGCCCGGGCCTACAGTGCTACATACTGGCTACGCCCCTGGTCGTGTAGTAAGCATTTCAGATATGACTGTTAGTCATACAGAAACCCAAGTAGCTGATAAGAAAGATCATCAGGCAGCTGAAGAGACCAAGGAGGCAGAAACTGTTCCAAACGATGACATGGCTGTTGATACATTCGTGGCGAATGCACGACGTGGTAAAACTGTTGTCCTCACGAGTAGCCCATACAAGGCTGAGCGTTTTGAAGCAAAGCAAGGCAAGGCTCGTAAAATTCAGGCAACCCAGACAAGGAGGGATGAAAAACAGGGACCTACAGAGAAACGCAATAAACGACCTGCTCGTGTTCAACGCAAAACAACCAGAGGCAAAAAGAAGACAAAGAGAGTTGAACCAATACCAGAGAATAACAGTTCATCAGGTGAACATAATGACGATGATGCCGAGTGTATCTACTGCAGCGTACTATGGAGCAAAAGCAATGAGGGCATGATTCAGTGCACCACCTGCGGAGAGTGGGCCCACAGGCACTTGGAGCGTTTCAATAAATATAATGCTAAATAAATACGTAATCTATTTACTAGCTACCAAAGTATTAGTGTTTTAGTACTCTCCTTCACCTATTATTGCCGACAAGCCGTGCTGCAAATGCTCCAGCACACGCCCACCGCACGCACGCTGCTTTACGCCACTGCACACTTACACATAAATATAGAGTTACACATCTATAGAAGAATATCTATATAGACTAAACACACTATAAAATTATATGGTCTACGCATTATAACAGGTTATTTCCACAAAAACGCTACATCACAGAGACAGACAGAAGCAGCTACTAGAACTAGAGAACAATTAAAGGTGCCTCCAATCGAATACCTAATTAAAAACCACACGCTTATATCTATATACAAATACCACCACCACCTTAACAAACGACTCAGAAACAAATCCCCTACCTTATCTGAAAAATATTACACTAAATTCAAGGACACTGAAATTAAAACAAATAACAACAAATAATATGTTTGGACACAACTAACTCACTAAGGAGGCAATAAACCAATGGAATAGACTACCAATAGACACAAAAAGGAGCCCCTCACTTAGCACATTTACAAAACTGTTAAAAAATACAATTTTAACAACATATAGCAGATAGGAGAACAATGAATCTATTATGTTGTATTCTGAATGAATATGTGTTTATATTTATATAAATATATATGTGTGTATGTGTCAATGTGTATATAATGGTGTACGAGTGTCGAAATGATATTAATGTGTACCTTATAATCACTTTACTTGTACAGAATATGCTGACGTTTTTTTGTATATTTTTTTTCTTCATGTTGTATAGCAGTGTTTTGTAGGCTACTAGCTGTATCACTCAGAATTTTTTTTATTTTAACTGCTCAACACTATTGCATTTATCAGATTTTTTATCCATGAAAAACACTATCTTCAGTACATGTACTTGTATTTGAATTACCTGCAATATAGATTTAATAAATAAATAAATAAATGATGTCTGCTGTCGTCTAGTTATATCTGCCTCCTCCTCCTCCTCCTCCTGCGCCGTATTATTATTATTATTTTATTATTATATTAAAATTTATTATATTAATTAATTAATTATAATTAATTATTAATAATTAATTATTAATATAATTATTATTTAGAATTAATAATTATA